CCACCCCTCCACGCACCTTCCCCCAAAGTGAGTCATCTCAATCAAGAATAATTATGGAGATATTTGGACATCCCTTATGCCAATAGCATCATCTCAATTATGGGCCTGAGGTCCAAGAATTGTGAATCTGTGCAGGCAAATCCACACAAGCATGCTTTTCTCCCTCCCGGTTTGAAACCGAATAACCTCATCTGGTTTGCCATGCACATCTTTCATTTTTCACTGCCCCTGGCATTGGAAGGAAAACATCGCCTGTGTCTGGATTTCCTCACATGCATCACCAAGGCAACATCAGTTGTGAAACACCAGCATGATTACAGCAGAGATGTCTCTCTTTGTCTGAAAACAGAGTGCAGAGTTCTGAGGGACAGTGCTAATGGCGATAGGGTGCTATGCCTCACAAAGATGAAGGAACACGTCTCAATTTTTAGATCCACGGCTTTTTGGGCACTTGTGTTCGTTTGTGATTGGATCCTTGCTGATTTCAAAGATAAAACAAGATGATCTCCGTACATAAATAAAATTAACTAGGTAGGCCTGGCAGCTTGCTCAACCCACCTGTAGATCCATACTTGCTTGGTGCAGAAGAGGCAGTAGGAGAAGTAGGGTAGAGGCCTTGTCTTATTGACATAGTGTGACCAAAGTGTAGAGTCATAACCGGTGGTGTTATCCAGGATGAAGAATCCAGTTTTAAATTGTAAAATAAAGATCCTTGGGGGAAATTCTGTACAGAGGAAAAATTTAAAAGTTATAGGACTTTGGTATGTATTGACACAGGCCTGTGACTTCATTCCTTTGACTGTAATCCATACACACGGGGACCAGGGCTGGTCTTGATATCTACTGTATTTTCAGGGTTCACCACAGTGTATGTCACATAGGGGTAGTCAACACATACTTGTTAAATAATTGAATGAAGTACTTGGAAGCCACTAGTGGCTGTATCCTTAGCAATTGGTTGCTTCCTGCAGAACTTTTCTGAATGCTTATTGTGCACCAAGTATTATCCTAAGGCCCCCAGAAGTTATGGAGATGATTAAGTTAAAATTCTTGTCTTCAAGAAGTTTATGACTAAGGGTAGGAGAATGGTAAAACTACCTACTGATAAAGCCTCCAGATTCCGTTCAGGAGAAAATAAAGATTTTATCTTTGAAGCCAGCACGCAGTGGGAGATAAAGAAGCCTCTGGCACAGCTCCTGCCTGGACATAGCCTTCAGCCAAATGGTTTCAGGTGAGACTGAATCCATTCCTTCACATTCCGCTAGTATGGCATGAGGGTGACTCAACTAGTAATGGAAGTGACTCAGAAACTCCCAAATATAAAATGGTTAGCGGAGAGAAAATTCATTGAACTGGAAGAAAAGGTACATTTGAGACAACAAAGCTATAAGTTGTCTTAGCATCTCTTATAACCTACCCTCCGTCCCTGGGAACAAGCCATGCCTGGGTGTAGCTCTGAGGTTAGCTGTTTATTCCTCCTCACTATATCTAATTTCCACAAAATTGCTTTCTGTTTGGTCTTAAAGTCAGGTGACTAGCTTCTCCATGTGCCTGCTGGTTGATAAATAACCATTCTCATAACTAGGAGGTGCAGCCCACGTGAATGATCCCTAAGAAGGAAGGTTAGTGGTGAGAATTCCAGACCTGAGGCGGACTCACAGTTGGTGGGGGGCGCTTGGTATGTTGGGTTGTCAGCTGCAGATTCCCCTTTCCCTCAGAAGGTGGCCCTTCCCATCTCCGAGGCCCCTCTGTGTGGATGGGATTCCTGTCCCCACCCCTGACCCTCGAGTGATGGAGAGGAGGCAACTGTCTCCTGAGAACAATAACCAGATTCTTTGGTTTCACTGGGGATGTTTGGAATCGAGAAAAAGGCAAAGACAACAATAACAACAACAAACAACAAAAACCAACAAAAAAACAAAAAACCAACAAAAAAACTGATTTCCTCGAGGAAGGGATGCCTGTGAGCTGCCTATGTACTTCCCTGCGAAACGGGCACCAGCCCTCCATCCCATCTGACCATGGATGGGCCACCGAGTGGAACTTCAAGTCCAGTAATCAGGGAACCGAGCAGAGAAAGGCCCAGGGCGATGAAGTGGGTGTTGACGGCTCAGCGAAGACTAAGAGGAAGTGCCCCCTCTGTGGTCCCGGATTTTAACCTTGGTAGAAAGGTGCCGTATAGCTGGAGAAGCCAATTTTTTTTTTTTTTGAACACCCAAACCAAATCATATCCATCCAGAAGCTTCCATCTCACCTCGTGTGAATATTTACACATAAAGTGTGTGTCAATCTGGGGGGTGGCACTGGATCTCGGTTGCCAACGTCACCGTAGAATGAACTAGAAAAGAAAAATCGACTTGGCTGCCGTCCCTGGAAGCCTGTTTTGAAGGGACCTCTTTTTGAAATGTTTTCCAGCTGTTATTTCCTTTCTGAATAATCTGAGCCTGATTCAATTGGTGTGGCACCGTTCTCTTTTCCAGAATTTTTTTTTTTTTTTTTTTCAGGAGGCAAATTACCGGCATATGGCTCTCTACAGGCATCTACATGTTCCTCTGGTTTTGGCTGAGACTTTTACTGAACTGTAAATCAATGACCCAGTCGGTACAGGGGAGAAGTATTCCACATCACGTGGTCTTTAAATCACACGGAGTGATGGCAGTCCAGCGAGATGCTGTGTATTATCTCCGAATGCTGGGGGTAAAAGGGTTGACAGCTGTCCCCGAGCTGACTCAGGGCAGACCCAACACATTACTGCGTTTCTGTGAGGGAGGCAGGCGAGGCAGAGAGAGCCAAGAAATCCCATGGATTATAGCTAAAAACCTCAAAACTAACAGAACTTGACTCTGGAAACAGTTCCATCCTCATATATCATAAAAACTATTTATAAAGCAAAACACGACTCCATAGATACGACTTCCTTTCTGATTTAATCAATTCCCCACAGCTCCCATTCCCGGCGTGGCTGGCAGTGACAGGAGAGACGGAAGGGGAGAAAACGCCACAGAAAACAGACTGAGGGAGAAGTGAGAACTTAAAACGTACGTTGTCACCTTGCCAGCAATGAATGAGAAGCGAGTCTCTGAATTGCCTGGGGACGCAGGTGAAGAGACCGCATCGCACAGAACAGGAGGCTAATCAAGTTCAACTGAGTCGACGAGTTGCGTCGACTTCATTTCTGCCTTCCCATCTTTGGGAAACAGCCTCGACTGTCCCATGAGCCAATTCCTTAAAATACATCTCTCTCTCCCTGTAGACAGACAGATAAATACACACACATCTCTATCTACCTATCCACACATACACATCGTGCGCGTTCTGGAGAATGCTGACTAACGCATATAATTCCGTTTGTCTTCGTGGACTAGAAGGCATACTTCATGAGGACAGGAACTTTGTACCATCTCTACTCTATCCTTGGCCCTCCACACAATTTTACTGAATGAAGTGGGTAAGAATCTGACTGGGAAAATCCTACTGAAGGAAATAAGCAGAGCGATAAGAGTTAATGGCCAGGCAGAAAATTTCCTTCTTATACAGGGTTGAATAGTGTCCACCTCCTCCAAATTCATGGCCACTTGGCCCCTCAGGATGTGACTGTCTTTGGGAACAGGGTCTTTGCAGATATAATTAAATTGAGGTCATACTGGATGAAGATGGGCTTTTATCCAATAATTAATGTCTTTACAAGAAGAGAAAACAGAGACACAGCACCCACAGCATGAATAGCACGTGAAGACAGGGACATGAATGTAGAACGGCATGTGACGTCAGAGGCAAGTAATGCCAAGAGTTGCTGGCAATCACCAGAAACTGGAGAGAGGCATGGCGTGGTTTCTCCCTCAGGGCCTCCAGAAGGCATGGACCCTGCCAACCCCTCTTGGATTTGCAGCTTCCGGAACTGTAAGAAAACACATTTCTGTTGTTTAAGCACCCAGGATGTGGCACTTTGCTATGGCAGCCCGAGGAAGTGGATACACCTCTCTTCCTCACATCTCTACCAGTCCCCTAGAAACTCGCAGCTCACCTACAGCTGCCCCCACATAACCCTCATAGGTTTCCTTGTGGCCCCTACAGAGGTTGAGTGCAGATTCCCACGTAGCCACCTGTAACGTTGTATGGACCTGAGCAAGTGGTGACAACTGGCACACGGAGCTGGGGGTGTTTCTAAAGCACAGCAAGCTTTTTCAAAACTTTAGTGTCCTGGTTAGGAAGAAACCAGCCTCAGATCCTGCTGGGATTCCAGACCTGAGCGCATGAGGTGACCAGGCGACCACACAAATGGGATGTGCAGAGGCGGTGGGAAGCATTCACCCAGCTTTTGGTTCGTCAAGCTGTTCTTTAAATGAAGAAGCCTGGAAAGATTATACACGGTCTCCCAGATCTCCATCGGCTGCTGTTCCACCCCGAGCATCCAGGAAGCTCTTCTCCGGGAGGGCCGAGGTTGGTGCGGCTGTGGTGTGGACGCTGTTGGGTGCTGCGTGTGTGAGTGGGGAAGGCACGCACCAGGAGCCAAGGGCGGGGCCTGCTGGCTCGGGCTGCTCTTGGCTCTCACGGTGCTTCTCCTTCGGAGCACTTATCGGCTTGTAATTGCATATTTATGTGATTCATTTATTTTGCCTGGAAGGATCCTTGTCTGTTTTGCCAGGAAGTCCCAAGAGGACGGAGATTATGACATTTCTGCTCCCCATTGTGTCTGCACAGCTTTCAACAAGCGTTTGATAAATATTTGTCAAAGAAAGTGATGTATAAATACAGGTGCCCCTCAGGATGCTAAAGGCACCCTGAAGGGTGCTTAAAAGCCCTGAGAAGTCTCCCCCCTCATTATTACATGACTGCCTCCTGTAATGGACCCACTGATGAAAACACCCTTCTCATCTTCACATAAGGGACTTCAGCTACCAACTCAGGGGGCTTCCTCTCCCCAACTCTATTTATTTTACCCCACCCCCTGCCTTTTTGTTTTTCAGCTGTCGACTTCTTTTCACCCTCCACAGGAAACATTACGTGGAATTCTAATCCAAAGCCAGTTGAAGATTGAGTTGCTCGGGGTACAGTGAGAGGAAGAGGGTGGAACCCTAACAGGCCTTCCATCTGTGAGCTCCTTAGAAACCCCAGAGAGTACCTGTTTTGAAAGTCCCAGCCGGGAGTCCCAGAGGATACTCTCAGCTGGGGGACGTGGACCTCCGAGACTCAGAATTCAGAGGAACCCCGGTCTCCAGACCTTGACTCAGATCCAAATGTTGGGACCACACTCAGACCCCAGGAGGCGGCCTACCCAGAATGCAGTTTCCGGCTCTCCAGAGAATTGTCTCTCCCCATCTCTTTGTATTCATCTTGTAAAAAGACAACATGTTCCATAGGACCCGGTGTCAGGACAAAACACAGGACAATCACATAAGAAAAATAACTTTGTTATTAAGCATATACAATCTTATCGAAAGTACTTCATAGTATCACAGCCAGAACTATTGGAATACTAGCTCAGCTGTTATATGGACTTGTGATAATGAACAACATGGCTACTGAAGATGATGACCAGTCACTGGGAAATAAACACAGCACCATGACACACACAGGAAACTCCCCAGAGCGCTTGGGGATGAGGTCTCTGGGGATATATAAAGGAGTCTTTTTTACTACGATTTCCCTAAAGCAGTAATATTTGTTGAAGAAGCGTGTGAAGTCCAAGGGTTTCTGCTTTAACAATTATAGTCATTTTTTTCTCAAATGGAAAATTATTTTTTGATTTGTTGTGAAACATACGTACTGACTACGCCAGGAAAAAATTCATTTATTTCCCTGAATTCATTATTAATAACTTCAGATGGCTCCATTCTACTAGTTCTTTGGCCTGGATTCCTGCAAAGAAATGTCCCTTTCAGGAAGGTTATCCGGAGGATGTTAAGTTTGCACGATGAGGCTGCTGCCTCTCTCTGAGACAGGTTGGAGGGGAGAGAGGGATGGGGAGTGAAACCCAATGTATGATGAGGGGTTTGCTGTCAACCCAAGGAAATGTCTGGCGCCTAGTCAGAGAGAATATCGTGCCCTGTGTGCCCGGAATTAGGGCTCACATGGCCAAAGTCATGGAAAGGGAGCATGGCTAGAACCACGGGCCCTTCACCTAGTATGTGGTGGAGTACTGCCCCTCCCTCCACGCCAGAGCGCATTTATTATTCACCTGTTTAACTATGGACATACCTGTCTGAGTATATACAGTAGAAATGACCTCAGTTGATCAGTTCCTTCTGCAGTAGATGTTGAAATGAACACAGAAGATAGCATTCCTGTTATACCCTCATGCCCTTTGGCATAGAAAGCTGATAATTTCTTGGGAAAGGTGGGGGGATATTCTTAAACTAAAGTGTATGCCCTCCTTGTTCTGTTTTCCATACCAGATTTTCATTCCCATTGCTTTCTCCAAATTGGAGCAATCGATTATTAAGTCCTATTCACAAAGCTAGTTACCAGGGTGCAAAAATCTGAGGTCCACATTTCTGCTAGAAAGGTATGCGAAGATCTTTTTCCCCCTGAAAACATGAAGTGGCGTAGCAAAACTAGCAAATTTTACTCCCCAAATGGTTTTCCCGTTCTGTCTTGAGCAGATGGCCTGTTTAGACAGTGAAACAGTGGTTTCCTATACATAACTAAAAGATACACAGGAAATAACAGTGCATTTTTATGCCAAATATATCTTTGAAAAATATAATTTGGGCATACAGAGTACATATTTAGTCCAAGTTTTGAAAATCTGAGGATGAATAATTATTTTATAAATGAACCTGATCCAGGAGATTGAGATGATAAAAAACAGGTTATTGTGTTTTGCTAGTGAATATTATCTAGAATAGTCTCGTAAATCTCCAATATTACAACTTTCGACCATTCTTTTAATATATTTATCCTAGCTTCTGCACGTCAAACGTGTAATCTGGTTGCATCTTATGAGCATTTAACAATAAAGATTACATTTCTAAACACAGTTCACCATGAAGAAAAGGTAACAAAATTTCTCATGTTTTTTTTAAAAAAAATCAAAGCTGGATCTAATCATTTCTCATAGAGCAGTGCATAGTTTTCTTTAGCATTCATCCACTTACACCTTTTAAAGACTGTGCTCCACAAGCAGGCAAACATTAAACATGTTCCAGATGGGAATCGACAGCTGTGCATCTCTTCGTAAACCTGTGGTTGGTGAGGCCTTCTGCTGCAAAGACTGTATCCTAGAGAGTCTGAAGCGGGAAAGGAAGAGGCTAGAAAAGGAGTATTGAGAATGAACTTGCTTTCAGCTGTACCATTCTGGTGGACAGTCACTGGAGATTTTGCATGAGGAAGATATAGTGGAGTAAAGTATCTGTGAAAAACAGCCACCAGCTGACTGACTGGAGTCCTGTGTTTCTCATGGAAACGAGGGGAGGAAGGCTGTTGTCACTTGAGATTCACAGACAGAAGCCCTTCCTATCATTCTGAAGAAACCTGAAGCGTGGCATGCAAACACCAACAGCAGGTCTCTTTAAACGAGCTTTCCAAAGAGGACAGTTAAACGATGGAAAAGGAAAATCGCCAACCTCCCAGAATATAGGGGGAAATCACAGGTGGGAAATGGGAACCCTCGCAGGAGCAAACCCGAGCTGTGGCAATGATCAGTGGAGAGGTTCAGTATAAGGGTGAAGGTCTCCTGAACAGGTGGATGAAAAGCCATTCTGTGTGACATGAGGACATGGACTTGAAGAAACCTGTAAGCCACCCATCAAAACCAAGAGGTTCCCCAACCATCTTACAAAGGAGACGCTTCTGTTGTTCTCCTGGGTACCGACTCTTGCTGCTGTCTCTAAGGATGCAGGGAAAGCCTCTTCTGGAATCTGCCTTTCTCTGGGATCCAGAAGTGTATGAGCGAACACTGACTGAAGCAGAGGTTTGGGGATGTACCCCTTTCCCAACTGTGTCCCGCATTTTCCGGGGAACGGAAATCAAGGATCAAGGATAAGGCCTGTAAGAACTGGAACTTGGACTAACTTATGGAAAATTAAGGAAAAATGGGACTAGGAGCAAGAAAATTTCTACCAAACAAGGAGAACTATTGTTTTTCTCTCTCCACACCTGAGAACTTTCAATAGTGTGGTATTCTCTATGTTGACAAGCTTGGCTGATGCCAGACGAGGAAAGCAAAGTAGCCTGTCTCTGCTGGTCAGCGGGGACCCTGCCCGAGGCTCCCTTGCCCCCACACCAACAGCCCAAGCCAACCACCTGCTTCCAGCCCCGAGCCCCACTGTGTGCTGACTCAGCCGGGATCAAGGCCCAGTGGCGCCTCTAGACAGCTGATCAGAGCCAGCGAGTTCTGTACCTCTCTATAAAGGTCAGGCCCCCTTATTTAATAAATAACCTGTGATTTACCGAGCAAGCTCTCTCATTTGATATAACGGCTTTAAAATGTCCTGGCCAAGTAGGGGTCACTGTTCTCATGTGAATCAGGGCACTTCATTCACTCTGTTTTGAAAAGAGGATTTATTTCTACAGCTAGAGTGGCTTTCTTCCCTGAATAGGATAGTTATAGATAAGCGCGGCACGAACTCCTAACAGTCGTATTTGAATCTGGAATGTGGCAACCTATACGACAGTAAACATATGACTGTTATTTTAATCTCTTTCCTAATCTCTGCTCCTTCTTAATTCTCTCCTTTCTTTAAGAAAAATTGGGAAACTAGGTTGGACAAGAGGCTAGAATATTTAAAATCCGTTACATCGACAAGGAAAAAGAATGATGTAACTATGCATTGTCGTCTCGTCCATTTAACTGACGAGCCCTAATTTTGATTCTGAGGAGTCACGGTCTCTTTTGGAGGCACACGCCCGTGTATATATTTCATAAGTAACCTCACATTTCTTTGAGCTCACCTTGCCACTTTCCCCTTTTATTCTGTTAAATTTAAGATACTGTGATAATACTTAACTCAGAAATCCAGAAAATCTTGACAAAAAAGTAAAAGAGAAGTTCCCAAGGAGATGCCCCGACTGCTCTGGGAGAGAAGCAGAAGCCAGAGCATCCACCATTCAGTCCCTCATGCCCAGCGGGGGCCTCTGAAAATGGTATTTGGATGAAGAGGAGTAGAAAGAAAAGAGTAAAGATAATAAAAATGCATCTTTTCTAGGTCTCCGGTGGTGCGTGTGCGTGTTTTTTTCCCCCCGATGATGTAACTTCGGGTGTGAAAACTCTTCTCTTCCTTTGGCACAAAGATCCTGGGATGCGCTAAGGATCAAAGTCTCTGGGGGCCCCCAAGTCTCTCGTCTCGGTTCTTTTGGGGTAGTCGTCTCCAGAGCCGAAGTCCACGGTTTCCGGATAGCTGGAAAATTCCTGAGGTGAAGGGAACTCCTCCGCCGAAGAGTGAGTCCGGTGCCCGAACACCTTCTCCTGCAGCTCGGCGATGTCGTTGCGGATGTCGGCCAGCATGAGCAGCAGGAAGTCGAAAGAGCCAGGGGGTCCCTGTGCACAGGAGAGGAGTCAAAGCCAGACCACCACGGGGCGCAGCCTTTTGCAAAGCGACGGCTCTCGGGCGCTCCGCGATTTGCTAGTCCCGCTGTTTGCTGGCAGCTATTTAGTTGACAACTCTGCGCTCTAACTGGAGTCAACGGAAGCTCTGCCATAGATGGTGGGCGGGGGTTCCCGAGGTGCCTTCTAATTTCCTTCTTTCCCACGTGACCTATTCGTCTCTCTTCCCTCCTAATTCTAGGCTATGTCACCTCTTATAGAATGAAGGACCATGAGAATAACCCTCCTAGGTGACCTTCCAAAGACACCTGGAAGGCACATGAAGGTGTAGAGTAGTGGTTAAGAGGTTGGGGTTCTGCTGGGTTTCCATCTCAGCTCTGCCACTTACTAGAGAGTTACTTAATTTCTTTGGGTTTCCAGAACATGGGGATAATGACAGTCTCCACTTCATTGGGTTTCCTAGGGTTCCAAGTGATTGATGCTCAAAACTGTTGTCTTTTAAAACACGAAATTATAAAATGTTTATGAGGATGCTTGACTATAACTGCGACCTAAACGAAGTTAAAGGAACCTCTGTACTGCCTTAGAAACAGCAGGAAACTAACATAAAACAATACGGAATCTCAATTGCAATTGGAAAAAGAACTCCAGCAGCTTACATCTGCAAAGAGTTAGTGATGCATATAGTATTTTGACACCATTTAATGCTCCCTGAGGTGTGGCAGATCAGACAGCATCTGGCATTGCACAGGGAAGGAAACGGACACCCAGCGGTGCCGAGTGACATGGCCACGATCAGAGAGCTGACAGGTGGAAGGGAGACTGGAATCCAGACTTCCTGCCTTTAAGGCCAAGGCTCTTTGTCTTTAGAATAGTGATGTATGTAGTATTGTGACACCATTTAATGCTCCCTGAGGTGTGGCAGATCAGACAGCATCTGGCATTGCACAGGGAAGGAAACGGACACCCAGCGGTGCTGAGTGACATGGCCACGATCAGAGAGCTGACAGGTGGAAGGGAGACCGGAATCCAGACTTCCTGCCTTTAAGGCCAAGGCTCTTTGTCTTTAGAAATGACACTGACCTTTTCAAAAGTAAAGGAGTTGCTTGACTTTTCTGTGCTTTTGGATACCACTGATTTCCATTTTTAATCTCCAGATACCACACATATATGCAGCTAATTTCTTCTCAGTGGTCCCAAGCCACCCTGCATGTCTCTGCATTTTCTGGAGGGGTTGGCCATCCGATCTGCTAGGGCCATAGTGGTGGCTAAATTCTTAAATGTTCAGTTACAGCTTAGCCCCATAGAGTTCTTTTTTAGTTTCTTCAGATGTTTTATGACATACCTGAAAACAGACTCATGGCATACTAGGGTTCTGCATCTTAAGACATTCCGAATAAAGATTAGCCACAATAAAAGAAAAAGCGACAGAAAATGAATTTTTAAAATAAATTCCAACCAACGGCGGAAGACCTCTGTGATTATCTTCCTAACCTCCTTGACCTGTTCAGTGGGCCGAGCGATGGCTGCAAGAGGCTGGCTTTTGCTAATAAGGCCAACTTGCAGGCTCATCAGAGCTGTAGCCAAGAATATTCCCACTGGGGATGCAAGACAGATGGTGCTACTCACTGGAGTCCCTCTGGGTCCAGGTGCTCCTCTCTCCCCCTGAAAGCAGAAAGGTCTGGGTTAGCTTTCTGGACCACGTGGATGCCGCCACCATAGGTCTCTTTTTAGATACCCACCATAACTGTCTTCCCACACAAAACACAAATATTTTCTACCAGAAACAACATAAGTTTGAAGCTGGACTCATGGGACCACTTATTTGAATAGAACTACTTGGGTCAAGTGTCTCTCATTCCGATTTTTCCCAAGATCATATATTTTCAAACCAGATCTGACGAGAGGAATGCTTATATTTCCAAGCAGTGTGTGGAATAATTTAGGAGCTTTCTAAAGTAACTCACATGGACTTTATGAGGCAAGTAGCAGGCAGCTCTCAAAGTAAAACCACCTGCTCGCACAGAACGAAACATCCCCCATTCTTGACTTAAACATAGCAAAGAAATGGGGACACACACAAAATAGCCCTGCAAAAAGACACTGGCTAAAGAGAAAAACACGTGTGACTATGAAAACACGGGGGCTTGTTTAAGGTTTATGGAGGTCATCTCGCTTAGGAGTGGCTTTGGTCGTTGTTTCTGTTACCGTGGTTGTTTCGCATTTTAAGGAAATTCCTTTTTAGATTTTCTTCCCAGTTTTGGTGGGGAACTGTATATCCAAAATGTGCTTGAGTTTTATTGAAACTGAGGAACTGTAGGCTTTTAAGGACCACGCATAAGACTCACCTTAGAACCATCTCTTCCTGGTGCACCTGGTGGACCCTACGAGACAAACAGGTCCGGTTTAACATAAGGAAAAAGCAGGGGACAAGGACACAATTTCCTCAACAACAGTAAGGGGATCTCTGATAAAATACTGACCACAGGGCCCCTCCGGCCTTGCTTGATGTGGGACAGATCAGGAGATGGTCCCATGGGTCCCATGGAGCCGCGTGGGCCGGGCTGCCCAGGGGGACCTGGCACTCCAGGAAAGCCGGGGCTGCCCTTCGGTCCTGGCGAGCCTGTAATCGAAGAACACCTCGTCAGCTCCACACCCCGCCAGGACAAGGCTCTGGCCGACCAGAGTCTGCAAGCCCTTTTAGCAATTTCTCTTTGTGCTCTGCCCTTTGCATCTCCACTGACACATCCACTGAGGTGTCCCACAGGCATTTTAAACTTAACACGATCAAAACTGACTTCCCCATCTTCCTCTCTTCCATGAACCACCAGTCACTCATCTACTCAAGCCGGAAACTTGAAAGTCTTCCTATAGATTTTTCTATCTCTACAATCTCCTTATCCAACGAGTGACCAGTTCTTGCACACTTTACCCCTTTTACATCTCTCTTTGATAACTGACCTGTTTCACACCTCTATTCTCAATGCTGTTTCTAGGTGCGGCCTGAAAGAACTTATTCGGGAAGGGGACCAGATCTCCCCTATAACTGCTTTACCAGAGACAATATCTTACCTTCACTTATACAATCAATGAGCTTCAGAGATCACTATATGTCAAGTGCCTTTAAAAGGTGGGGCTTTGATGTGCAAATGGGAGCACATCATACTTAACAGTGGGGACCACAGTGGGGACCACAGAGTGGCCACGCCCTCACCACCAAAGCCATAGGATTCCAAGCCAGTGTAGCATCCTGTGTTGGTGTCCCAATCAATCATAGGCCTTGGGGCTGGACTTTTAGGTAAGGGTAAAATAAACCTTATTATTTCTCTAGCTGCCCTAACGTATCTCAGTGAAGGGCAGCATAAACCAATGCTGGAAGTACAGAGTGAGAAAGAAACAGGGTTGGAGGAGAAAGCGAGGGCAGACGCCAATGCCAAAGCTAGTCCTCCATCACCTTCTGCTCCATCAAGGACCCTGGACAGCTCAAACCATGTTAGAAACCAGATGGCAGAAATGGAAAGGAAAATCCAGCAAGTCGTTTATTAAAACAAAGACAGCCAATTGCTCTCTGGTCCCTAGTTTGTCCTTGTAAGAGTGATATGCAGACTGGCCTGGAGATGAACTTCCCGCAGGGAAGCAGAGTGCGAGCGTTCTCCCAGGGAGGGGTGGAGAACGTCGCACTAGGAATCCACTTGCAGGGTGAGAACCACATCCACTGAGAGCAGCAAGAAGCTGCCTCTGTGATGCATCTGCTGGAGAAAATTCCACTCCGACCCAGAGTGTCTCTGGCCAAGGGAGTGAACAAGAGGCTAAACCTGGCCCAGTTCTTGCTCTCTGTGCAGACGGAAGCCCAGGCCGCCGGTGTTTGATGGAAACCAGGAGATCGAGACAGAAGTGAAGAATAAAAGACATGAACGGCGTGGGAAGAATTCTGAGCCTTTGTTCTTGCTGACCTTCCAACCTAAAATCTGCCTGTGTCCTTCCTGTTTGGACAGATCCTACCGGCTCGTCCAGCTCCAACCCCAAGTCCGCCAACACCGCAGGTTGCTGTGGTCTCTTCATTCTTTAAGCTCCCACAGCAGGAAGCACCGTGCACTGACTTAGGGACGTGCAGAGAGTGTTATAGTTTATTTGCTTTCACTCTGTGTGTCTCGTCTTCTCAATCGGAATGTCAGCAGGTCACGCACAACATCTAGCACACTGCTAAGCAAAGATCATGAGGAACGGGGCACTGCATGTTTTAAAATCGTTTGCTAACACTAATTTCATTTCTTTTAACGGTGTTAAAAAAATCTATTGATCTATCTATGGAGAGAATCACAATAAAATACAAAACATAACTAGTTTTTAAAGTTATTGTATATTTCCTGATGGAATGACAGGCTATTTGGTTTTTCGTTTTGTTTTTTTTAATAATAAGGGTGAATCTCCAAAACCAATATGCTGAATGAGAGAAGCCAGGCAAAAAGAACACAGGATATGAGATTCATTGCTGTTAAGTTTTAGAACAGACAAAACTATGGTGATAGAAAGCAGATCAGTGGTTGCCTAAAGTTGGGGATGTGGAGAGGATTGTAAATGGGCACAAGGGAACTTTTTGGGGTGATGGGAGTGTTCTATATCTTGATATAGATAGAGCGTGATGGCTTGATATAGGATGTATACATACATGTGTCGAAACTTGTTGAACTGTAATTTACATGGGTACATTTGATTGTATAGAATGGTAAGGTTGACTTATAAAAATATACATAGGTGATGTTTAAAATGAAATAGATGTACGTGTGTTCACAAATAATAGGGGAAGAAGGGAACGGGACTGGGGAGGGGTGGAAATGAGGCTGGCCGTCAGCTGTTGGAGCTGGGTCATGGGTCCATGCGCTCATCACACGATTCTATTTGTGTTTATTAATGTTAAAAAATAGTTTTGTTTTGTGTCTCCGTAACTTAACATGATCTCTAAAAATCTTATCCAAGTCTTATCCAGGACGATGACCTTTTCCTTCCAAATCACTGTTGGTTATGAGGGTTTCTCAGGGTTGGGGACCCGATTTCCCAAGCAAGGCCTCTCTCGTCGCACAGGTCGGGGAGTTCCCTGGACTCCCGCTTCTGCTCTCATCCATGGAAGCTGAAGAACTCTGTCTAGTCCCCACTACACGTGAGCTCATGGCAGGCCTTGGCTGGTGACTTTATTACCCTTTGATGCCCTTCTCTGCACTCACCGGGAGGGCCCTGGTCCCCAGGCAGGCCAGGAGGTCCTGGAAGGTAGGCATTGGAGGCCAGCACTTTGTTGTCAGTGATGTACTTGCCCAGGTCAGCGGCACTGTTGGGGAGCAGGGCAATCTGCAGAGAAAAAAGGGACCTCGGTCAGGAAGCGATGGCTCCACTCAGGGAGGTTCTTCACACTTGCACTTACATTGTTTGCAGAGGCTGCAAAGCCCTTTCATGATAATTTCCCTTTATCCGAGCCAGCTGGGGCTCAAAGGGCCTGCAGAGATCCTCCTCCTGAACCCAGAGGCCTTCTAGTAAAAACAACTTGCATGAGATCACTCAGCTGGTTAGTGGACAAACCTGAGCAGGCTCCAGAGTGCTTAGACATCACCACTACACTCATTATTACGTCATCGATACGACCTACCTGTTTCAGACTTTCTTTGTTAATTACCTATGTCTCAAACATTTATTGAGTACCTACTATGTGCCAGGCCCTGTGCTTCATTCTAAGGTGACATTAGTGACCAAGACATGATCTCCGCTGTTAAAGACTTCTCAGTCTTGGGAGCCAGGACCAAGAATGTGGCTTATAGTTCACCTGCATGCTCAAGTGGGAAACGGTGACTGCGATGGCTTAAAATATGTCCACAATTTTTTGACACCCCTATCTTCAAAAAAATGGAGGCTAATTTCCCACCTTCAGCATGGGCTGGTCTTAGAGACTTGCTTCTAATGAATAGAAAATGAGAGGAGTGCCAGAGGGTGACTTCTGAGATGAGGTCACAAAAGGCACTGCGCCTTTCTCTTCGCTCTCTCTCTCTCGGATTTTAGGGGCTCATTCTAGGGGAAGCCAGAGGGGTTGCACAAATGAATGACCTTCGCATTCCCAAGGTCAGGTAAGCTGCGAATCTGTGAGGCCATCGGTAAGAGCTGAATGCTATGAGTCCATTTCTTCACTGATAAAAAGGAACAATTAATGTCCACCCTCAGGGCTTGAGAATTAAATGAGGAAGTGTCTACCTGGCCAGCACGGGACCTGGAACAGACAAAGTGCTTGATAAATGGTACTCTAGTCTCTTCCAAGAAGCGAATCCAGGCATGCAAAATCCAGTGGAGAAGGGCACGTTTCTGAGGGTCAGAGCTACCCCCAGAGGACTTACTCTGGATCCTGAAGTCTTGTAGGAACCAGGGGTCTCTGCACTTCTCTGAAGAAAACTGCATTGTCCCCACGTCCTCTGGGATGGGGCAGCATGAGCTAGGAGGAGGTGCAGGATGGATCTCGTCCTTGCCCTTGCAGTGTTCTCAGGCCCTAAACCTGTCTTTGGATCTGAGCCTCCAAGAGAGGCACCAACTACCTGCGCATGGCCAGAGGCAGCCAACTGCCACTGTGACAAAGCTGAGCCCTGTGAGGTTCGACATCAGCACAGGGCACTGAATTAAAAATTGTGCCCAGCTCTTCCTCTGAGACTCGTATCAGCTCTTAATTATAACTTCGGGGAGCGAGAAACAGAATTGCACATTGATTTGAATGACTGGAGTTTTCTTTACTTCCGCCTTTGTGGGCAAGTCAGCATCTCTCACTTCTTACTTCCCTCTTCAGGGATTTCCTCCTCGACCCCAGTCGAGTTCTGCTGTAGCAGAATGAAGCACACACTGTCAACGAAGCCACAAAACCACCCCTGGGGGTCAGGGCCGGCACGTGTCTTTCATGATAAGGAACTCCCTATCCAGGACTGGAGCATCTGGCTTGACAGCAAAGCAGGGAAATGGACTAAAAGATAATCATGAGATCTTGAACCCCCAATCCCAGGCCTGAGAGGAGTGTAAGGGGAACCACGAAATAATTCTACGGAACTGCAGCGAAGACATCAGCCTGTGGATGGCGACAGGGAGCCCTGGGCAAGTTCTGCTGTCCAAGATGACCTTACCTGACTTCGGAAGGTCCTTGGCCTCCTGCGCTAGTGCCCGTTTCTGAGCATGGCCGTTTCCCATGCTGGTTCTAAAACACGGCATTGATGGAGACCCCTGGCCAAGGTCTCCTCCTGCCAAGTGGCTGCTGGGTTTGGGACCCACTTGGTTCAGCTTTAGAAACTGATGATTTTTTCTTAGTCACGGAGACAAATATTCTTGCCAACTGAAGAAATCCAATATTAATGAAAAGCAAACATCGTGCTAATATGTGGTTTGCACTTTGCCAAACAACTTTTACCTGATTCATTTTACGGAGAACAAATTCCTTCTCCTGCCAGGTGGCTGCTGGGTTTGGGACCCACTTGGTTCAGTTTTAGAAACTGATGATTTTTTCTTAGTCACGGAGACAAATATTCTTGCCAACTGAAGAAATCCAATATTAATGAAAAGCAAACATCGTGCTAATATGTGGTTTGCACTTTGCCAAATAACTTTTACCTGATTCATCTTACAGAGAACAAATTCCTCTAGCTGCTCTGCATCGTGCCTGCCCTACTCCTGTACCCCATTAGCCTCTTAATGGAAGCACTGGGATTTTTCTAAAAGGTAAAATCATGGGAAACCAGAGGATTTTGGCCGTACCCTCGCAGGCTGGCATGAAGACCAAGTAGAGCCATGAGGCCAAAGGGTTCCCATCTCTCCTGCTCAATCTGCTCACAGGCCTGCAGGGCACAAGTCAGATTCTTCGAGGTCAAGGTCTTATTCTTGCTTCAGCGGCCCTAGGTGGCCTATTTGAACCTGGGATGTTCCCCAGACTAGAGCTTCCTCCAGAGTTTTTTTTTTTTCCCTTTCCTTTCTTGGAGTTCTTACTGAAGTCCATCCAGCTCAGGGCATGAGGATGCTCAAAGGGCAGGAAGCCCAGAGAAGCATTACCACTGTCTTCCAAGGGGTCCCCTCGGTACCCCGGCACCCTGTGCCTGTACTCCCAGAAAGCTGAGCGGCCCTTTAGCTAGTTTTAAAATCCTTGGGTAAGGACAGCCTCGTGTGTCCATGAACTATGAGATTTCTGAACACCCAGTGCTTTCCTCCATGCTTTGAGGAGACAGTGGGCCCTGAGGCTTGCAAGGAATGGCACTCAATTCCCCTGGGGACGCAGTAGGGGTGACCATCAGAATTAAAATCTGGTGCAACCTGAGCGTCAGCTTTGCGCAATTTCAGGTCGGGGTTCATGGTTCAAAGTCACCACCAGGACCCAGCTGTGTTTCAGGAGTTTGTTTACAATGGTGCTGATGTCACTGTGTCACCGCAAGTGACTGCTCCAACCTGCAAATGCATGACTGTGGTCCTGGGGTAGAACGAGAGTGACCAGTGAAGTGGGGGGGAATCTATAAGCAAATCTACTACTCTGACTATGGGGCAGAGGGCCAACACCGGCAGCTGAAGGCTGGTCCAACTTTATCATCTGCTTCCAGTGGAAAAACTTTGGCATTAGGTGATTTACAGTTAGGTCTCAGCCCAGCCACTTTCTACTTGTGAGATCTTGGGTGAGCTACATAACCTGGATTTCTTCACTTATAAAATGAGGATCTTGATATCCATCCATAAAGGGCTGCCGAGAGGGTGAAAGTGATGTGTTTACCGCACCTGGCCCAGCGCTCAGCCTCGTAGCTGCCAGCACCAGGCTCACCGTGGAAATGCTCTGCCTGGGGAAGATCTTGGCTCTAAGCAGTTGTGTGACTTCGGGTGAGTCCCTTTGCCTTTCTAGGTTCTCAGCTTCACGTCTACAAAATAGGAGGTTTGGACCAGATTATTCTGTCTTTGGATTTGAAATTTTGCAAGCAAGCCTGGAGGATGAGATCTGCATGCGAATGGCATTTAGCGATGCTCCTTCCTGCCCTTTCCAGCTCTCTTTGCCCCTCTGTAAAAGTCAATACTCTGGCTTCCTTCAGCCCTTCTCTGCGTTAGCAGGAGTGGACAGTAAAGGGCATTGGTGTTGGGGGAAGCTGGCCAGGATCCCTGGCTTGACCTGCTGCACAAACACAGCAGAGGATGGGATTGTGGGATGCAGGTGTTTGGGAAGAAGGTCACAGTAATGTGAGAAAAGTCCATAGTTCTCCAGGATTCCAATCAATGGAATTATGAATATCATTAACTCATATTAATCTTTGTAATAAAGCATCGACTTCACGGCGCTGTTGGTATGAGTCAGTCAGATGCTGCCTGTAAAGTACTTTGTAAGGACATGTGATTAAGGTTATTTATTTGTAAACATTTACAATGCTCTTACTGGGTGGTAGGTATTATATTAAGTCCTGTATAAATATTAACTCATTTGATCATCATGAAAACCTTATGTAGTAGATATTACTGTTATCCCCCTTTTTATAGAACTGAGGTACAGAGAGGTTAAGTAACTCACCCAGGGTCACACAGCCAGCAAGTGGTGAGACTTGGAACTAAACTCGGCCAATCTGATTTTGGAATCTGTCTGCCTAACCACTATGCTAAGCTGCCTGTCTTAACATTATTATTAATACTTGGCAAAGCAATCTAAAGTCACTTTTTACATGGATTAGTTTTCCCAACAATCCTGAAAAGACTCATTTTCCAGAGCAACTAGATCAAGGTAGCAGAAGAAGTCAGAACCTACTGAGAACCTGTATATTTGCCTGGCATAAAGGCAGCACTGGAGCAAGTGAATGCAGCCATCAGGTCGCAGATCTGCTCGCACGTCTGAAAGCTCACTGACCTCTAACTTCCGAAGTAGCCACTGCCTGCCCGCCTCCATCTGGCAGCTGTTGGTTGACTTACACCACTGGCTTGGTTTCGAGATAAGACAGTAAGTTTATTTAAGGCAGGACTTTATTCCATACTGCTTTGTATTTCCTCATCTTCCAGCCCACCACAGGGCATAGTAGGTGCTCAACCAACCCTTCCTGAATCGTTATGCGCACTTCCTTCAACTGCTCGGCAGCGACGCCACTCTCAAATCAAACAGGCCCTGCAGCTGGGGCACAAGTGACTTTAAAAAACTGGCTCCTTGGCTCGAATATGTCGTCTGTGCTCTGATGGGCCCAAGAGCCCTCTCTGTGAGTTAAAGGATGGGTGGCTATCCCCACTCCTCCCTCTTTAGCCAAATCACCCATATTTTCCTCTCAAACCACAGAAGAAATTCTGGATGTGGAGGCACTGGGGCCTGCATACCATTTAAAAAAAATTTTATTGGAAAATAAAAGCGCAGAACCTGGAAACTCTGTAAAACAAATCTGTATCTTACCAAATCGTTACATGGTGAGCATCCCTTTAGTGGACAGCTAAGTCTAAAAACAAAACTTTGCAGCTGCCAGAAGCCTCTCCATGCACCCAGGCTCAGTCAGTCTCCTCCTTCCTTCCCTGCACCCAAAGCGACCACTATCCTGATTTTAATCACTTCCCGTGGTTTAAAAAATAACTGATCACCTGATCACCCTGTGCATGCCTATACACTATGGTTTGGTCTTGCCCGTTTAAAAAAAAATATGTCTTTTAAGTTTCTTTTAATCTGCAGGTCCACCTCTTATATATTTGTTTGCGATTTACCCACTGAAGGACCCAGGCCCTTTGCCCTGCGGAGTTTCCCACAGCTGGGGTCTTGCTGACCTCACCCGACATGTTTGCATACTGCTTTATACTGTGGGGTTGGCCACGGTCCAGGACACCCACCTCTTAGCCAACGTTTATTTGGGCAGGTGTCCTATGTTCTTTACTGAACAGAACACCTGGCATCAGCAGTAGAGAGATGAAGTTAAAAACCGGCTGACAATCCCAGCACCGGCACAGCAGCAGGATGAGAAGACCTAGGGTTTAGGTCCAGCCTGCCTTGCGGCCAGTGATCTCGCCTCTCTGAGAATAACAGCATCTTTCTCACACGGTCATGGTGAGGATTAAATGAGATCCTGCACATAAAATGGCTTTATGAACTGCAGAAGGCAACACATTCCAACAGGCATCTTTAAAAATGAGCTGCTTCTTACAACGTTCCTTGAATGTCAGCACTAGCTCGGACTTGCCAGATGCATCCGTAGGAGAATTCAGGACAAGGCGGACCAACTGGGTGAGGGCTACTGGAGCACTAAGCAGTACCTGGAACTGGATGTGAATGGAGCTCTATAGCGGGGTCTTTAAGGGTGACAGGTGTCGTGACACAAAGTTTTCAACTTCTTAATATTTTTTCTTTCACACAATGTGAAGCATTGCAGAGAGGCTAATGGGAAGCCAGATGGTGATTTAACAACCGAATTTTTGAACAACTTGTGAGGTTTAGCAGCACTGGTCCTAAAGGTCTTCCAGGCTGTAAAGAGCTTCCCCATAGCTCTCAGCTGTTAACCACCCAGGAGAGGGAATGCAGGGAGGCTTTAGGACTGAGTCATTGATCCACTGCTTCCCCCAAATCCCAATCCTCTGGCCTACGAAATGAAAATTTACTTCTTCCACGAATCTTTTTTTTTTTTTTTAATTTGCCCAATGAATACTAATATCAGTCCAAGTTCAACCTGAGGATATCTGTGTGGGATATACTGATATCTATGTGTTTACAGTGATAAACTAATAACTAATAAGGTTTTCTGCCTAGTATCCCTATTGAATCACAAACTATTTAGGATCATGAGGACACATTAGGCAGACAGACAGACACACAGAGAGACAGAGACACACACACAATGGCTGTGAAAGTTCACAGATCGTCAACAAAAACACACGAAAGGCCTGCAAAGCCATCCTCTTCTCAGCCTATCGCTCTGCTTGGTTCCCTGGTGGCTGCGCTGCTCATGAGGAGCTGCCTGCATGTCTGTTGGCCATGGAAAAGCAATATTGTCTCATGCTTACCCTTTTGCCCTTTAGAATACTAGATGCTCAGCAGATTACAGACACCTCTCTGAGGTACTAAGAGCCTCGAGCGAAAGCAATTAAATAAACAAACCAGTAGTTTATGTTTTTCCAGCGTAAGTGCAATTTCCGAGTTGCTGACAAACTGGTGACCTGACAGCCGGTATAACAAATGCCATCGGTCTGGGCCAGGACAGTCGTTCAAGGAATCAGGTCACCAGGTCTATCACAGAGGTATCACTGACCTCACACCAATGTTAGCAGGAATCTGTCAGGCATTCGTGGGAGTCTTTTATAGTCCGTCCTCTCCCCCATGGACACGAGGTACACAGAGCCCAGACAAAGCACAGGCTATCATTCTTAAATGTGAAAAATAAAGCTGCTACAGAAATGTATCACCAGCTCATGGAAGTTTTTGGAGAAGATGTTCTCTATTGATAAAGTATAGACAAAATATTAGAAAATTAGAATTGCCTAGGTCTGTCCCAGGGTCATGTGCTTGGACATTCATTTTACAAAAAGTCACAACGGTCGTAGCTCATCCTCCACAGCTTCACGACGTGCCCCTTACCCAGTGGTTTATTTTAATAGTCACCTAATCGGTCCCCTGCTTTTGCTGTTCTTCTGCACTTTAGAAGGACATCTCTGGGGGGCGGGCAAAGCATTCTAGTCTAAGCCTAGTTGGCACCAACCGCAGTGAATGCTCAACAAGGTCCTGGATTTCTCGGTTTCTAAACACTCTTCTACCTTCTGTCCGCCAAACCCTCCTTTTATTTTCCGTGACTGTTCGAACACACCGGGCACGTACCTTTTGCTTCAGCTGCAGCACCGTCTGCTTCATCTGGTGAAACTCCTTGCACGTGGCACAGCAGGTTCCGGCTCTCACCGTGCTCTCGGACTTCTCGTCGTGCCCTGGGAGAGGAGACAGGCCCCAGTCCATCTGGGAGGCCGGAGGCTATCCAGCCCCAGAGACGGCATCACAAAAGGCAGACCTGGGGCAGGCCGAGTGGCGGAGGAACGTGCGAGGGATAGAGACTGGCGATTTTATGGTTTTTCGGGTCACCGGCAGCACGTCCCGGGTCAGGGGAGAGGCAGAGGGGGGCCCTGCTACACTTGGGGCTCAGCTGTTTCCATTTAGGCATCCCAGCCTCTTCCTCTTTCATGTGTGAAAATGTAAACCCCGGCCCTTTTATCAGTGCCTTTCCAGGAGGCAGGCTGCATCAGCGTGACATGATTTACATTCTCCTCCAAGGGCCCATGTTCACACGCCATAAATCATCGCCAAGCTCAGGCACCGGGACTCAAGTGCAGGGCTCCCAAAGCTGATCCTTTTCACCCCTGATAATCCAGCTGTCCAAAGCGAGCACGGCTGGGCCAGGTGGGGTCACACACAGATCAGGGCCGGGCATGACCTCGGAGATGTGAAGCTGGGATGGAAAATGTGCCAGGAGCTCCGGACACGCCACCCTGGGGGGCACATGGGACAGGCCCTGGGAAGGCGCTCCGCTGTCCCCCAAGGAGGGTTATCTGGTAGAGCACTGGGAGCTCCAAGGACTTTTTTGTGAAGAAAGAATGGGTGAGTTAAATGGTGACGTGGCCAAGATTACAAACAGCTCTCATCTTGCTGGCACTGAAAAGGGCTACAGACACCTGTGTGCTGGGCAACTAGACACGCGGGGTCATTTTGCTACTGAGTAGGTGCCGACCACCAATGTCTGTGCCAAAGGTGGCAGTGGCATGGGCCAAGAGTGGGGGTGAGGGGGTGTGCAAATGTTTTGTTGGGGTGGGGGCAGGGCCGTTTGTCACCCAGGGTAGTGTAAACCTTCCTAGCTTAGGAGGCTGGACTACTCTCCGGTATGTAGCCTCAAGACAGTCAAGTAACGTCTCCTTCGAGTCGTTTCTTGCGCCTCTTGTCCCATGTGCTTTCCATTTCACTGTTCTTCTCTTCTGGGAAGCCCGCTTCGCCGTCTCCGTTTGTGGAATCCTACCAACTAAGACCAAGTTCAAGTGTTCCACGAAGCCCGCCCTCTATCTATAGAGGTGCTACAGTCCTCTGAGATCAGGTGGCATTTACCACACGTGTCATGCAAACGGCAGGTGTCCCAAGCTTCCCTGTGGAGGAGCTACTATGGCCAGAGCGTGAGCCACCTACAAACTGCAGTCGCTTGTTGGTAGCACACATAGTGGGTGCTCAAAAAGCATCTGTGGAGGGTTAGAGGTTGAGCTGTCCCTTGCCGCGGCCCCCCTCCCGCCCAAGTTCATATGTTGAGGCCCCAACCCCCAGTGCCTTGGAATGTGATATTTGGAAATAAGGTCATTACAGATGTCATTAGTTAAGAAGAAAACATACTGGGGTGGGGGTAGGGGTTAATCCAGTATGACTCATGTCCTTATAAAAAGGAGAAATTTGGACACTGATGCACACAGAGAACGCCACATGGAGATGAAGGCAGAGATGGAATGATGCAGCAGAAGCCAGGAGACAGGCCTGGCACAGTCTCCCTCACAGCCCAAAGAACCAACCCTGGCAACACCCTGACCTCAGACTTACAGCCTCCAGACCTGAGACAATACATTTCTGTCCTTTAAGCCACCCACTTGGTGGCGCTTAGTTGTGGGAGCCCTGGGAAGCTGATACGTGGATGGGTGGGCTGGGCGTCGGAGAGCACCATGCCCAGGTGAGCCTCCCTCATGCAGGCCAGCTGATCTCTCCCACAGAGTCGGTCCCCTGCCCGGTGTCTGCATGGCGACCGGTGCTTTTGCTGAGAAGTGAGAGGGGGCCCAGGGACAACTTGGTGGCTGAGATCTCTGACTACCCACCTGCAGCAGAGTGGTGGGTGGTTCAGAGCTCACCTGTCACACCCATCCCTGCACCTCACGGGAGGTCTGAGGCTTGGAGTGCACATACTAGGAACACATATCTCAAGCCAGCAGGTTGAAGTGAGGGAAGCAGTGCTCTGGCTGAGTTGCCATAGCAACACTGTGATTCTTGAAAATATGGAGTCCACCTATAGCTTAGATTCTGCGTGTGTGACCTGGGTGTCTGGGAAAGTGGCGGTCTCTTTTTAAATCCACCTACGTGTGTGCAACGTAACAGAGCCACCTTGTTAACTCCCACTTTCTCGGCTAATTCTTCTGTCGGTAGCTTCCCACCCCCATGTTCAAGTGGTGCACTTGAGGAATGATCTTGACTCACACTGCAGCTGTGTAACCATGAGCTACGTTAGGAGGAGCAGGGATGGTCTCGCGCTTGGAGACGGTGAAGCGGATTGGTTGAGGGCACAGCCTCCGAGTCGTGCTCCCCAGGGTGTGTGTCTAAACTCTGTCACTGACCAGCTCAGGGACCTCGGGCCAGTGATCTGACCTCAATAGGCCCAATTTCTTCAACAATAGCATTCGAATAATTCCTACCACACAGGGCTGGTGTGATGATTCAATGACAAAATTAATGTGTGTAGACTCCTTGGCACAGTGCCTGGAGCTGGTAAATGGGACAGCACCTAGCACAGTCTTTGGACCCACCAAACCCCTTGCCTTCCCTTTGCTCAGTAAGGCCAGAATCCTTGGATGACAGTATTAACACAAACAACAAAACGAGAGGAAACCGAGGTTTGGTGACTTCCCCAAAGTTATCTAGCAAATTAACAACCGATGTGGGTTTGCCATTGAGGTTTCCTGAATCTGAGTCCAGTGCCTTTTCTACAAATCAGGCAATTTCCTCTGGGCTCTTTCTTCATGTTCAGTGTATCAGTTTACAACCCTACTTGCCTCTGAAGCTTGAACTCATTTGAGAGTTAGTTATTTAGATTGGTCTCCAATATAACAGATGACACAAGGGGATTTCCATGGAAAAGCACACTTAGTGGTAAAGTACTGAAGCCTTAACAAACTTTGGTTATGCTCATGGGACAGTAGGGCGAACTCGGGCTCGATAGATGACTCCAATGCCAAGATTATTAGGTTAATACTTAAGGACAGCTGCTGTACACTAATCTCTCCCAATCTAGCATTCATTCATTCTATCCCATTTACTGGTCGAGTGATACCATCTCATCCCATGACCCATCTATCTCATTCAGCCTCTCATCCCACTCATTTCTCTCCCTCGTCCATTTGTCTGTCCATTCATCCATCCATTCATCTATCTATCCCCCTCTCCCTCTCCCTCCTCTCCATCTATGGAACATCTGCTACTTGCTGGGCCCCGCGTGAGGCATTAAGAATGCAAGATGAATGAGGATACATGTTTAACTATTCGGGATTAACTTTACCTTAACGGAACTAGTCCTGTTGGCAGAGCCAGGCCATCTTGAACAAGAGTTAAAAGCCCAACTTTCCATTTCTACTTTCACATACTCAGCTGAATTTTCCAAGTGTTGGTATGAGTCAGGCCATTTGATGTTTTCGTGATAGGAATAAACCTCTTTACCAGGTTCTAGACTGTATTCTGTTTAGGTCATGTAGTCTCAGAAGTGATGTATCTTTGGTTCAATGTCCTTTACAGATGAGGAAATTAATATCCAGAGAAGGGAAGTAACTTGCTTTAGGTCTCCCAGAGTGCTTCGTGCAGAGGCTGGGCACTCACAGACCCCGAGCGAGGCACTGTGGGGGCGCGGTGAGCCTGCTACCGGGAGTTCTATTCAGAACACCTGCGCGCTACCTGCCAGGCAGGCTCCAGGCGGTGGTTCTCAGGCGTGATCGCCAGGCCAGCAGCGGCGCACCACCACCACATGGGACCTGTTCCCAGAAATCCGGGATTCTGGGAGCGGGACTGGTGCAGGGTTCTTCCAAAGCCCTCTCAGTGACTCTGAGGCACATGCGCTGCTCTAGGGAAGCTGCTCTGCTGGGTGACCTTTCACCTGAAGATGCCTGGCCTGAAGTTTTCTGTCCCTTTGTGAAATCGTCAGCACACGGAGATCAAGATGAACTCTGTCCCGACGACTTCTGAAGAGCGTACGCTCTACAAGCGATCGGGACTTGAATCCTGATCCTGCCTTTTAGGTTGGAAGTCACAGCTTCTGTGAGCATCCGGATGTTCCTTGAATGACGAAAATGACACTTACCATCCGGGATAGCTGCGAGGTGTCAATAACACCTGTAAGTTCCCCGAAAGGTGCCTAGTGCATGGCGAGTGCCCCACAGATGTTATGATTGCTATTGTTGGTATCTTCTTTTAAATTACCTACAAAATTGCAGATGTGGGGTAGGGCTGTTTACATCATCCTTTTCAAGGAGCTCTCAGAGGGTTTGAAGATAAATAATTGTGCGTGTAGATCTGGAACACGCAATCCATTCCAAATTGGGTCTTGTCTATCCTGTAGTTTGTCTACTATGTCAGATGTGGAGCTAAAACAAACCTGTTCGTGCAACATTAATAACTGACTTAGAAATCTGGGTGGACACCTCTGACTTTGCATGTATTCAGTCCTCTCAATTAATGGTGTAGTCACTGATGTCCCTGGCCTTGACCATGACCACGTTAAGTGAGGTATCACTTAACATTTTGTTCCCGTCTATTCAGATTTTAAAGGTGCAATATTATTGATGAGCCACATGGGGGCAGATAGCTCTAATTTTCCTGATTTGAGCAGGCTATACATACATACATCCTAAGCATTAAAATTGAATTCCTTAAATACCATATTAGTAATATTTAATAAACTTAGACAACTGGACTGTTCCCAACATATCTCAAATAAGCAGTGTAACAAACAAACAAAGCATGTTTGTTTTTAAAAGTTGATAGTGCATATTTGTACACTATTGACTGGCAGAAATTCTCAGCCCTGGTGGCACATTGCAACCATTTGGGGGGCTTTTAAAAATCCCACCATGTTGGTGCACCCCATCCTTCAGTCAGTCTCAGCAAGAGAACAGTAATAGCATTTTTTAAAGCTCTCCAGGTTGTGAACCACTGATCTATGTATGAATTAGTGAAACTTGAAAGTTATATGAAACACCTGGCTGTCCCTGACACTTTGAACTGTAATAAGTGACACTAGGGTCATGGTCACTTTATCAGAAAGTAAACAAGTTGAAAAATAGAGACGGGTAAGCTAATTACTATGGAGCCAACAAGTCCTTAATTTGTCTCCCTCTCAGGGCTATGCAGACTCCCTGGAGTGACTAAACTGGCTCCGGCTACGTACTTTCAAAGAGAGAATCAAAGTGACTGAGCACGCCATTCTTGCCTGTTAGCCAGACGGCCTGCGTCTCCATGCTTGTGTGCTCATGGCAACCTTTCAGTCGTCAGAGACAGTTCTGAGGCTGGCCCCTTCTGCTCTCTGCTGGCTTTCTGAATAATGAGCTGGGGCTGTGTTCGATTTTAAATCTGAGTATAACGTTCAGACGTTGGACAATGAAAAGTTAAAAAAAAAAAAAAACAGGAGAGAAAGGAGGTCTTAGATCACATGTGTTTATACTCAATAATCGTTACTTCTTCATAAAAAAATGACTGTGATGAAATATTTGGCTTATTAATTAGCCCAAAACAGATGAAACTGCTTAGCAGCCTCTGAGGTTCCAGATATAGTACCCGTCTAGCCTGGTTTTTTTTAATTTTTATTCTTGAACTGAATATCTGGATATTAATTATTCATCTTTTAGAGACTGTAAGGAAAGCTCTGTGTTTTGGTGTTGGAGCTGGGTGTGTCTTTGAGTCTTGGCACTCCTTCAGATGAATGACAAAGAAATGAGGACCTCACAGGGACTCACAGGGCTTGTGTTACTTTCACTCATGCTACGTCACACCAAACTGCAAACAAGATTTGCGAGGGCAAAAGGGTCTTCAGAGCTCATCAAGGCCAACACTCTTGTCTACACAGGAGAAAATGGAGCCCAGAGACCTACCCTGCCCTGCCCAATGACCCTCAGCTGGCTAACTAGATTACTGAAGCAGCTTTGGCTGCCCGCCCTCCTAACGTCCCAGCTAAGGGACTACCGCTGTCCAGGGCTCTTGCTTTCTGTCGCCAAAACCGTCAAAGCCAGCTCCCCACCTTCTCTGTGGCCCGTTGCTTGAGCAGTGACTTCAACAATCAGGGCACACAATGTGCCTGTCCTCTCTCATAATTTTGGGAGCAACTCACTCCTCTCGGTCCCTAACCCCCCGATGTCCCTGGTTACCAGTGCTGGAATGTTTTTCTTAGTAAAATACTAAAACCAAATGCTAGTCCTCTGTGCACAGGTGGTGAATTCAACAGAGACTAGTTACCGAACGTGAAACACTGAGTAATTCTTTCATAATGCTGCCATCGGAGGCGGGGGAGACAACAGATAGTGGTGTCATTTCAGCTTTTTAAAGATTTGAGGTTGTTCTATTTAGAGGAAGAGAGGGAGAATTCATAGCCAAGGCGGATCTGTGCCATGAGTTTGTGTTACAATAGGGCTCTGGTTTAGCCACTAGACAGTTCTTCCTGTTTAAACAGGAGGACATCTCCCGTTGAAGTCCCTGTAAACAGGAACATCCTGTCTCTCAGAATGGCAGAATGGAGGACTGTCCTGTTCTGTTCATCAGATGCTCTGCTGTCCTCAGCAAGTGCTTTCTCCCCAGACTTCGCTTCATCTGAAAACATCCTAGCCTGAAAGTCGACCAGATGACCTACCAAGCTGGGCTCCAGAGCTCAGAGTTTTGACGCTAATAGGTTAGAATTCTCCAAACTGTATTTTTCAGGACACCATCATCTGGCAGATATTTATAGGTGTTTCTTAAGAAACTGATTTTGGGAAATTCTGGTTTCATCAAAATTAATATATTTTTTTTTAAATGGCGATTTCTTTTAGAGCTTTAGATGCACTTGCATCACGAATCCTTAAGAAATGTGAGCAGTAATACATTCTTCCCCAAACAAGCTTCTAAAGGAAGAAAGACGTAGTTACACCCCACAGGATCCCATAGTTCTGGAGCACACACTGTGGGGAAACGCTATAATAAACAGTTGGGATGAACTATGCCTTTGAATGAAAGTAATACTAGAGAAGGTGCAAAAAACAGTTGCAAATACATACCCCTTATAATTACAACTGCTCGGTTTTTTACTGAATTCTCAGCTGTACAAGTCAAATTGGCCACGTGAAATTCTTGATCTCTGGTCCTGAAACTTGGTGTTCGAGGAAGTTTTAAGGAATACAATTCACTTCTCAAGGAAACAAGCAGAGGATATGGTCCAGGACTGGCTGAGCACCGCAGACTGCTAATTTCAAAGATGCAACGAGACCTTCCTGGGCCCCAGGCCAGGCTCCACTCTCTGAATCCACACTGCCAAAGCACTACGCAGGAGGTGAGTACCACCAAGGCCACCTTGTCACTGCTCAGGGCCATCCCTAGGGAGCCATGCAGCAGGGTGACTGTAAGGGGTTCACCACTGCCATTGGGACTGAAGAGGGATGTGGTGGCAGAAATAAGAATTACTGCAACTGGTGGAGGCCACCTGAGACCGAAAACCAGTAAATCCAGCACGTGGAATCTTACACTAGTCTCTGCAAATTCCCTCCGGCTTCTCTGGTCTCTGATAATGAAGGCGGGTCTCTGGGTAGGAGCTGCTTGTGGTGGGGCCAGGTCCTATTATTTGGAGACCCCTATGGTCTATTCCTAATCCGACACTCAGAGGTAAGCATTTTTTTTCCTGTTTCTGATGGCTGTGCTTTAGACTGGGTTGCTCAACACTGCTCTTCATGTCCATGTAAATGGGATTTCACCTCAACAGAACGCGAGGCAGAGACAAGGGAGTTGCCAGGCTGAGGAGCCCACAGCCCACAGGCTCCCCGGCTAAGAGCACAGCTGGAAATCCAATTCCCAAATGAAAAATGAGAAAGTTGCCTTTTTATTGCTAATTCTCAAGTCGGCCCACACATTAATATATCTGTGGCTAAAAGCCTGCACCTCATTTTTCAATGAGATTCTTCCTTTCAATAAAGGATAGAATCTAAGAAGTAAGTTCTACATCCTGTCCCTCCTCCACCTTCTTCATCATGAAACAAAAATGAAGTGATTTTAATTTTGAATTAAAATTAAAAAAAGCTTCCTGCAAACGTTTTTCCTCACTCGACCTTTATGCCAAAAAGGCTGTTTACTGCTGCTTCCAGCACCTCCGGGTACGCAGGCCCCGCGTGCTTCAGGCTTGCAATAGTTGTCACCCGGCCCTCTGATTCATTCAAATTATCCCAAATTGCCCAATTCTGAACCGGCTTCAGATACTTTGCATCTCCTTCTAATATGTGGTGGCTTCCTCATGACTCACCCGGTTGTTCCTCATAATTTTGCTTTGTAGTTTTTCCATGTGAGGCAGCTGGTCCCCAGCTGTTTGTCGTCCTGAGCCGATGGCAACTGCCTTCTGCCCCTTTTGAATCTCAGGCTACACCCAAATATGCAGCTCCTGCGTGCCTGGCAGCCTTGGCCTTGTGTCCCCCTGCAGCTCTTGGTACCTGTGATTTGCCTCGTCCCCACCCATAGGCGGCCCGGGCCCTGCTGGCCTCTCTCACAGACCACATTCCTGCCACTTTCCCTGCCCAAGGGAAAAGGGAAGAGCTGAGCCCTGAGCTCCAGAAGATGACAGCAGCTTCCTGGCCTTATGAGCATCGGATACAGGAGCAGAACGGCTCCCTTCCTTCTTCCTCCCCCACCAAACTTAACCAAGGTCGTAACCCGACACGTGGGCTGGTCACATCCCTGAGTGATCAGACATCTTGGTTAAATCTGGTTGATATAACGCAAATCAGCTCCTCAAACGCTATGAGGAAAGGCTAGCTTTAAAAATTTTTCCATTTCATTGTGGACTGTATTTGCAAAATGCAATTAAAATAAATGACTGGAAAAGGAGACATAAAATACCAGCATAAATCTTTGGATTTAGACGAAATTTCTCTGTCAAATTGGAATAAAGTTTCCTAAACATTTCTCAACTTGTTTTTATCCAATCATAAACCAAATAGCAAATAGTGTGCGGGCAGGCACAGGGCCACGGGCTACGCGCAGTGCTGATGGAGGCTGCTACCTTACATGGAAGCGTTTCATGTCTCTCTGCTGATCCTAGTTTGATCTAAGCATGTAACTAAGTTCTACTGATTTGCCCATGCGCACGACACCTCTGTTTGGTGGAGAGCTTCCTCAAACACACATCAGCTCATGACCCTTGCTGCTAACAGACATCGCTCTCATCGGTCTGTTCAGAAGAAGCCTGACGTGATGCACTGTCCTTCTCTTACCCAGGCCCCACCAACCATTTGTATAAATGCCCCTTCCTGCACGCTGCTCCCCAAGGAACCCTGTTGGGCTCCCAAGGGCATGCCCACCCATCCAACCATCCATCCAACCATCCATCCATCCACCCACCCACCCACATCCATCCATCCATCCATCCATCCATCCATCCATCCATCCACCCACCCACATCCATCCATCCATCCATCCATCCATCCATCCATCCATCCATCCCTCCACACCTATCCACCCATCCACCCATCTACCCATCGTCCATCCATCCACCCATCCACCCATCCGCCCATCATCCACCCATCCACCCGTCCACCCATCCACCCATCATCCATCCATCCATCCATCCATCCATCCATCCACATCCATCCATCCATCCAATGAGGGGGATAATTTTACCCGCCCTACTCACCAGTGTCGTTGGGGTATTTGTCTCCCTTGGTGCACGTCCTCCCATCGTCCTCCTGGATGTAGCCCTCCCGGCATTCACAGCGGTAGCTGCCCAAGGTGTTGACACAGATGTGTGCACACAGTGTCTCATTGCTGGTGGCACACTCATCGATATCTGAGTTTGAACCAAATGCAGACAATGCTCAGTTCCCAAGAATTCACTTCCAACACAACAGGTGACCTGAGGCGCGGCCCTTCTGTTAACATCTGCCAAGCACACTTTGCCAGACTCCCATCACAGAAGCTTATGATAAAGGAGGAAGCTGGAAATCTGAGTGGCAGGAGCAGAATCAAACCACAGTGATGGGGTTCCTGGTGGTGGCTCTGCCACTACCCAGTCATATGGTTGGTGTAGACCTTGCTAGCCTTCAAAGTCCTCATCTATAAAACGTGATGATAAAGACTGCCCTAAATACCACACGGGACTCCTTAGGAGGAAATGAGCTATCCGATGGTGACACACTTTGAAAAGCGAGCATCGTAGAAACGATTTTCTGCGAGGTCCCCTGTGTGCTGAGGGAGTTATGTTCCCTTTTTATGGCTGTAGGTTCCAAACTCAAGGTCACTGAGCAATGGCTCCTTCCCAGCTAAAAGACGTGATGGTACCTTGGAAAAGCTACTGATAAAAGAAAGTAGTCAAAATGGGTCCAATGGAGTTTTTCGGGAAAATTTCTGGGCCTCCTCTATGACCCTAACTGACCCCTCACGAGCTGTGGGAATGAGCCTTGTGAACCAGGTGCATCACGGACTTGTCCCTCTACTGGATGGGGCGGAAACAAATCTGCCTTCCACCTCGAGAAGAGGAGGAGGCCCAAATCTGTCTCTGCTCATTGGCTGAGGACACTGGGAGGAGGGGGTGGGGCTACGACAGCCCCAGGCTGTGCACACGCGGCACAGACAGAGCCCAGCCATCGCTTCAGGACTGTGACGATGTCCCAACTACGTCCTGGACAAGCTGCCCAGGACCTGCCTCTGGCAGGCCCTGCATGTGCCAAGGGGAGAGTGGTCATCTGGAGGTTCCCTGGGCGGTGCATACTACGTCATCTGTAGCCTAAGATGTCACAGCTGGATCGTGCTCTGCAATTCCTCAGGCTGACCACCTTTCTCCACGTGTCCCTGCCCTAAACCTGAGCATGAAGCTGTCTCTACTGTCCCGAGGAGGGAGGAAGAATGAGGTTGGAAAGAGAGACAGAAATACATGGAACTCTTAGCAGCAAGCTGGTTTTGCTGGTCTCCAAATGAGAAGAACAGTACACCGTCCCACCAACTGAACAAAGAGCCTTCGCCTGGGACCTCGGGGGAACAGAAGGGCAGATCGTGCTCTCTGTAGGACAGGCCATGGGTCCCCACTCCATTCCCTTGGTGGTCTCAATCCCATTCTTTGTCAGAGTAGGGCGCCATCCCAGGTGCCACTGGGGAGAAGCCAGGAGACCCATTATCTAGAGCTTCTTTTACACAGGGGGGCAGCTCATCACAGCTCCTGTGTTTGCCACGCGGGTCCACCTGCCAGTCTCTCAGGTCGCCCGCCCTCTAGCTGATTCGCAAACTTGACCGTGCATGTGAATCATGAGAGGCATTTGTGTAAATGCAGATTTCTGGGCCTACTCTCAGAGTCTGGAGGGAGCAGAAATCTTCTTTTTTTTTTTTCTTTAAGCAAGAATCCCAGATGTTTCTGACAGGTTAGCCACAGACCACTCTTTGAAACACGCAGCTCCAGGGGACAATAAACCTGTCTCAGAAACTCAAAGAGCGCAGAGCTGGGAAGCCCAGTCGGTGAGGGGGAAGGGGACAAGCCGGGGGTGATGGATGGTGCCGACTTTGCTCAGCTGCAGCCCAGGTGGCCGGCTTCAGCTCCCTCTGACTCACGTCCAACCAGTCTGCCATATGGCCACTGCTCGTGCCCAGTCTCTTCCTAGTCCTGTTCCGAGACAACGCGTTCTCTTGTTTCAGTCTTTCTGCAGGTTTAGATTTCTGTCCACTTACATTATTCTAATTTTCTCTTGATGATAATGTTTCCCTTTTCCTGCTCTTACATCTCGCTGCTCATCAGGCTCTAACTGGTACCAACTCCCTGAAGGATTCCTTGGCCATAGTTTGTTTCAATAATCACAGTAAAGGGCGGTGACCCCCTAGGATGAGACCGACACAATTTCATCTAACAAGTGTCAGGATGAAACGGGAAGAATCAGAGATCAATGCGGCTCCTGTGAGCGGGGCCCACTGATGAAGCACGTCCAACAAAGGACAGAACCAGGCATAGTCTCAGGAGCTGGAAGATGACGTGCGTTGTCAACACACCTAGGCAGTAGGGCTTCTCCCGCTTCCGGTGTCTCTCCCGGTCATAGCGGTATCCCGGATAACAAGTGCACAGCACGCGCCCGAAGTTATCTGTGCACTGCTGTTCGCAGGGGGCCTCGGCACACACGTCATAATCTGAAAAAGAAAAGTGTGAGCTCACACTCACGCAGTCATTCCCTAGACAGAGGCGGGTCGCCCACCCAGACTTTCTGGGCTGCACTCTGCTCCAGGGGAACTATGACGTGTGAGTGGCTATGTTTAGAGGGGCACTAGCCCTCCAGGCCATGGGGTGCTTTCTAATACCTCGTGGGAAACACAGTGCTCAGCTCTGCAGCGGTTAGAAGCAGACGTCACTTGTAATTCCCTTCCGAGTCACCTCTTCATCCTTTTGTCTTTGTCACTTATCCAGGAGCAAAGTTGCTCTAGATGGCCAGTCTCTGAAACATCACCTGGGGCTGGGTTTTTTTTCTCCCACCAACTGCTTTAGAGACAGAGAACTCCTTCCAGCTGGACACTAAAGAATGGCCAGCCCTGGTGATGGGCGTTGGCGTTGGGTAAGGTCGAACAGCCGTAGACCTCGTTTTAGCCCTATGCCTGTGCAAACTGGGGTGGATGGTCTGTTACTTATAAAGACTTAGAGCATCTCCTCCTCTCAGTCCTTACGAGCTGACATTCAACAAGCCTCTGAAGGGACTTTGGCTCTAAGTCAGGAGCTCAGGCTGAACATTTACTTGCCGACTAGATCCAGCATTTCATTAATCATTGCACTATCTTTCCCAGGTGCTGACAGACAAACTATCCTTGGATAAGATGTGATCCTGGCTTTGCTCTGCTGCCTATGAAGGTGGAGTGATGGGCTGTCAGCCTCTGGTGTAGGCAGGGTGGGTATGACAAAGCTTATGCCATTCTCATGAAAACCTGGAAAACTGCCCTTGCTAAATCCTTCTGTGATTCCAGGCTTGCTTTGCCTGTGTGTGTCCCTGGTCAAATGTGTTTTCCTTAACAAAGCATCACCTCTAGGCATCAATGTCCTATGCTCTATACTTCTGCTGCTCATGGGCCCAGACACAATTATTGAGTGCCTACTTTGGGCCAGGTCCCATTCTTGGAGGATGTCCCATTAAGGTGAAGAGTACGGGTTCTGGAGCCAACCCTCCCAGCTCTGCCACTATCTCTGTGATCGTGAGTCGAATGTCAATTTTCTTACCTATAAAGTAGGGAAACAATAATATTTACTTCACGGTGTGCTTTTATGAAGATGATACTGGATGATGCATTGAGCACAGTGGCTGACACACAGTAAAAGCTTTACCTGTTCGTCTGCTTCTTCTATTACTTGTTCTAACGCTTGTTTGGGTATCTGGCAGGGACTGTGTCCCCTGGAGTAACCAACACTATTCTCTTCCTACAGTTCATGCTCAATTAGTAACTGTTGAACCAGAACAAATCCGATCACTCTGTCACTTGGCCAATCGAGATAACGTAGCAGGGGGTGGCAAAACATATCTGATAGGTGGCTTTGCAGGCCTGCGTTGCAATTACTCAGTTCTACTGCTGTGGGGCAAAAGCAGCCATAGACAATTCTTAAGTAAATGGGTATGGCTGTGTTTCAATAAAACTTTATTTACAAAACAGGCAGTAGGCCAACAGGCATAGGTTGCTGACTTTTGACTTAAAGCAACAAATATGAGGCAACAACGTTTTTTTAGAATGTAGTGTCTACTCATTAGTTGGTTGATATTTGTTTAGAAATCCTAGTAGTATTCTTTTACTATCTGTGATGGATAATCATATATGTCAGCTTGGCTAGACCACACTACCTCGATATTTGGTCAAACATCATTCTAGATGTTTCTCCTACTTTTTAGATGAGAATAACATTTAAATCAGTACAGTTTGAGTAAAGCAGATTACCCTTCATAAAGTTGGTGAGCCTTATCCAATCAGTTGAAGGTCTTGATAGAAACAAGACGGACCTCCCCTGCTGAAGTGAGAATTCTGGTAGCAGACGGCTTTTGAACTCAAACTCTAATGTTGTCCTTGGACTCCAGTCTGCCAGTCTACTCTGCAGATTTTGGACTTGCCAGCCTCCAGACTCTTGTAAATCCATTCCTTAAAATAAATCTAAGAATCCTAACTAATACACCATCTTTTCTGAGATCCTACAGTTATACTTTGCATTCTTGAGCAGTGAAAACCTTTATGATAGCTTTAGTAGAAGACAAACACTGACTTATTCTCACAGATTAAAATAAATTAACTTTTAAAAGTATTCCAGTGGAAGCAATAGAGCAGAGGGTTAGTTATTTACGGCAAAGCAGCTTTCAGCTCTCAAGACCACTTTACCTGGAATATTCAGTTCTAGGTTCCATTAATCAAAGGTGCTGTAGTCCCACTTTAGGGTAAGGGAGGCTAGGTTTAGGTTTAGGTGTTTGAAACCACAATATCCAACACTTAAAGGAACTCTAAATATGTGGTATCCATGTAATATGTTTTTAATTAGGTTGGGCGAGGTCTTTAGCTGGGATCTTAAATTGATTGGCCTAAATTAATTTTCTTTCAGTATCTGCCAAATTGAAATATAAAAGACACAGCTGGTGACTGAGAAAAGCTGGCTTATAAAAGAATGCAATTATTTTGACCTTTGTGGTTTTCTCCACAAACCTCTAACCAATGGAATTGGCCGGCAGTGAGAAATTCAGCCTTGGAGAGAGACCCAAGGCCCTCTAAACCATCATATGTGAAGTGATTTCCTACCCAACCTTCTTAAGCAGCTTCCTCAGAGGTCACAGCTATTTAATGAACTCTGTCATCCTTCCACCAAAGACAGCAATAGACAGAGAGATCCATTTATTTCTAACTGATAAAGATGCTGCTCACTGAGATGATGCCACATGAATTAGCTTGGCTGGGCTCAGATCCTTGGTAGAGACCTGGCTTCTTGGGTAATGGAGAAGAAAGCTATTTTGTATTACCCACCTACCTCTCTGCACCTGGGGATAAACTAACCTCATGCTCTACAAACACTTCTTAGTGTTTTCTGTGTCAGTGCTGGCTTTCTCTGCCCCTTTCCTCCTGCTGCTCATCTAAGTCCTGGGCAGCCTTCCTCGAGCCAGCTCGAGTCTCCTCTCCTTCCCGAGGCCACTCTGACCATGCTGATCCTGTGTGCTCCCTCTGCAACCTTGCTGCACTGGAGGCCTCTACTGCACAAACTCCGGGCAATAACAGTAACCAATTACCAAGCACTTAATAACAGCCTCTGTTCCAAGTACTTTACATGGGTTAATATTCTTAAAACAACCATATAACTACTAATACTTTCCTGAAAAAACTAACGTTTAAAACTTGCCCAAGGTGATAGCTAGCTAGTAGGATGTGTGTTATGGACTGAATGTTTGTGTCCTCCTGAGAGTCATATGCTGAGGTCCTAACCCCCGATGTGATGGTGTTAGAAGGTGGGACTTTGGGGGGTGACTTGGTCATGAGGGTGGACCCCTCAGGAATGGTATTAGTCCCCTTATAACAGAGACCCCAGAGAGCGCCCTTGCATCACGTGATGACATGGCAAGAGGATGGCTGCCTAGGAGCCAGGAAGCCCTCGCCAGAGACTGAATCTTTCACACTTTGATTCTGAACTTCCCAGGCTTCACAGCTGTGAGAAATAAATGTCTGTTGTCTAAGCCACCCCGTCTATGGTATTTTTGTTACAGCCATCTGAATGAACTAAGCCAACAGAGAACCGTGATTAAAATCCAGATCTCTCTGATTCTTCACTGTCCAGATCCTGTCTACCTCGCTTGAGGGCATGCACCTTGAGGGCTGGGTCCCTGTCTTACATCTCTCTGTCTCTCCACTGCTGGGCTGCACACAGTGTCTGCTGATGGTCACGTAAAGGGGCTTCAAGTTCAACATATGCAAAGCAGGTGGAGAAGGTGGGGAGGGTGGTCATGTTCTAACTGCGTATGAAAAGCTGATTAGACACTCAATGTATGTAATGCACGTATACGAGTTGTGTAATGATTTAGATAGAGCCTGCTACACGTAACCAAACTGGCATTAGAAGAACTTAATGTCAAAAAGAAATATAGAAATTACATACACACATGCACAGATATTCACTGATAACACACATACATTCCATGTACATCTGAACTTTATAAACATCTAATGAGTAGTCATGAATAAAGTGGGAAGACATAATCTTTTATTTTACGTACCTTCTGGGATGCATTGTCCAAGAACAAATTTATACCCTTTGCAGCACTTTTTCCTAAGGGACAAAGAAAGAAAAACACATTTTAAATGCGATATGTTAGATTAAAAAATATAATTCTTTTCGGTTATTGGTTTTGAATGAAGTAACTTGTGCCCAAGAAAAACTGAGGCATAAAGGAAAGCAGGGGTGGAATACGTCTAAGGAAATCTGAGATAAAAAATAAATATATATATTGTCAATACCACATGACCACATCTTTCAATGGCAGATGCCCTTTTCACCACATGACATATGAAATTAATCCTTTGAATCCTAAGAAGTGAATTAACTCAGATTTTAAGATACTCAGAGAATTAGAGGTCTACAAAAATATAAGTATAAAAGGACTTTCAAGGCTGACCTGACCCCTCATCCTACAGACCAAGGATTCACATGACTTGCTACTTACAGTAACAATTAGCTGAGTATAATAATAATTGGATAGTTGTAACATAATGATCGCTAATTATAAGACTCCCACACATTCTAACTTCCATTCTAGCACTTTTTTTAATGCCTGTACCACATAAGACACTCAAAGGTACCTAAATTATCTAAGTTCAAAAAACAGCAAGCAGGTAATTACTAACATAAATATGCAAGACTTAATATCTCTGCCCAAGGTAGAGAAATGGTGCCACCTGTTCCAAATGTAAAACTTCACAAGAAAGAATACATCTCCGGGGCATGAGCTTCTAACAGGCTACTCCCTCCGCAAACACGAGGATACACTTTGGACAAAACAATCGAATAAGCAACTACCTGAAGGTTCTGGAGAGGATATTAAAGTGACAGATTGAGGAGAGTTGACATTTTGAACAAGGGGCCAGCACACGGTTATTACTGTTATTATAAATAATCAAAGGTGGAGACTAAAGCAATTTCCTACCTTTGTCAAATGGTCGGAACCTTCAACCGGGTTAGACAAGGCCTTCTGTCTAAGAAGAATTTGATTCACTTAAATGTATTTTTCCTATCACATTCTAGCGAAAAATAATTTAACAGCATTATTTTCTACCTTTGCAAATTAGTATCATTTACCTATTTCATTGGTCAAATCCATTTTTGTGGATTGAGCTGCTAGGTGGATTACCACCTCCTGGGTGAAGGAGAAATGCCAGTAATCTCTTCCTAAAACTTGTAAAATTTATAAAAATTTTATTAAATCCATCGCTTATAAATTTTACATACAATTGATTAAAAATGTACACAACTTGTAAACCTCACATCCTGTAGAAGATTCTGAGGCTCAGTCCGGTACAGCAACACTACTTCCTTTTTCCCTGCGACATTTCTCACATACGGTCCAGCTGTGGTAGATCATCTTGCTTCAAAAGCATGACAAGGGGACTTCCATTATGAAAAAACAAGGGGCATTTGGGATGCCCCTGAAACAGACTTGAAGGAAATAGCTAAGGGTCCCCCTGCCCTCAAAGGACACACTTGCCTACTGTACTTTTCCACTCGTTACAGACTATTTTGGATCTTTCCTCAGCATAGTTTATGTTAGAATGACACGTGTGTGTGTATTTAAATGTGTATGCGTATATATAAATAAAATGTACTGATATGAATGATGTTTGGCGATATCCCGAGTTTTCCCCTTAGATGTAATTTAACATCGCCAACTGAATTATAATTTTACATGACAAAAGAAGCCCAAGGGGCATAAATTTATGATAATTACTACTTCTAACTGAGGTCGAGGATCTAACTTTATATTCCATGAAACTTAAACTCTGCCCAGTTTTCCACGGCTTAAGAAAGTTCCAGGACCTAACAACCAAAAAGAAAACTGGCTTAATAGACTATTCATTACAATTTTATGGTTCTGACTTACTGTACTACTTGAAGCTGTCCGACAGAAAAGCGTAAGAGGAAAAGCAGTGCACTAGACGGTTTGAAACGCGAGTGATTCATGAGAAAGTTGGATGGAGGGGAAAAACATGTGTTTTTGATACTCACATCTCAAGTGTCGCTGCGTTGAAACATATGGATCTATTGGGCTGTTTTTATTTAACGGTGCAGCTAAGGTATAGCCTCTGAGATGTTTGATGGCGTTTTACAGTTCATGGAAATGGATACGAGCCTTACAATCTCTTTCTACATCCAAGACATTAAACTTGGGTGTTTTGACCTTCGTGAGCATTTCAAGGGCTTGGGATTGTCCATGCAGTGAAGCCAAAAGTAACCCATCGTTTGCCTTTTAATGAAATTAAGTGATCATGCAGTGATTTCACATGCTTTCGAAAGGCTACAGAGCTCTGTCAGAAGTGGATCTGAGCTTCAGGAAGGGCACGCTTCATTTCAACACCAGCTCAGCTAAGAATTAACTTCCCCTTGGCTGTTTTTCCTGAATGGCATAAGTAAAGCCATATCCCTGTTCGAGAAGGAGGTTTGAGACCTCACTGTACTCTCCACTGTTCCTGGGGATATAGCATTATTCTGCACGTTAAACATCCATCAATCATAAATCACCATTTAAAATAAACAATGAAATATTCCAAAGTATAAGAAAGCAAACACTGGCCGCACATGTTCTATCAGTTCAAAGATTACTTAAAACATAATTTATGTGCGATGAAGTTGAGAGCGCCAAAGTGAAATCTCCTCCTCGTTATGCAGGCACTTGTTAGACTTAACTACATACACGGCTGTGTGGTTTTTATCTTTAAGAAAAACAAACGAAGATGGGGAAAGCTCTTGTGGGTTCCGGGGAGGCCAGCCTTCTTAACACGCTTCACGTGTCATAGCTTGGTTTTCCAAATGCAAACGCTCTTCTCATTTTTTTGGCAAGGGGAAGTGGTGATTAGATTGTTGTTACATAGAAAGGGCGACATCTGGTAATCAGGAAAGTCTGTGGAGGTTTCCCCTGGGTGCCTCTGAGTAGTAAGACACATAAAAAAATCATAAATTTTTTGTTATGGGCCAAATTTGTCTAATTTGGTTCCAGCCCAAAATATATCCCACCAACCAATGTGTGTGAGAGCTTTTAGAAGGAAAGACTAAATTGAGAAATGAAGATAATAGAGATGGCATCATTTGACTGTCCGCTGTTATCAGATTCTAGAAAAGAATTTAAAAAAACAACTGCCGACAGTATTAGAGAACTAGAAGGGACTTGAAAGGTCAAGTGAGTGAGTAGGCAAGAAATATTTCAACACTTGCTCCAACTGGATAGTAAATTTTCCTAAGATTTACTTGAAGTTTCCTTTGCATAAATGCCTAGACATGCACCGAATGTATCAGATTTTTTTTTTTTTAAATGAGAGAAAAAAACTATACCTTTTAGAGTTCTTGGTGCCAAGCTACGTGCAGTAGATAGAGCAATGGCTGGACGGTCTAGCAAATGCGGTTTACAATTCTGGCTCTATCACTTGAAGAGCTCAGGGTGCAGCCTGGGCTGATTTCTTAAACCCGCTGAGCTTTAGACTCCTCGTGGATAAAACATGACGCTTCCTTTACAGAAGTATCACAAGGACCACAGGTGACACAGATGCCTCGCGGGGCCTTGTTTAGGGTCAGAACTATGTTTTTTTTAGCTGCCGCTTTCTGAACACGGCTAGAAAACAACAACTCTTCCCAGATGCATGAGACATCTTAAGACTCATCTCTTTCTTCCACTTCTTATTCAATGGCAGATGCCATCTCCGAAAACAAGAGGGACCGAGAGGGAAGGGAAAAAAACCTTTTGATTTCAAGATGATGGAAAATATTTTTGTCCTCTTCTTCTTCCACAATTTAATCCCAAGTAACGAGAACGTGGAATAAAAATGCAAACTCATATCCCATGGATTTAGGAAAACTCTCTAACTCTGGACACGGCCTGTGGATGGAAGGATGAGAAGTGATCTTGTAGAGTGAAGTAACTTCCAACCCAAGTGTCTCCATAGCAGGTTATCATGGAGCAGCAGGCCAACCAACTTTACAGAACCTCGGCCAGGCTTAGATCGGAGACACCAAGTATTGAGGAGAGTGGAGGCCAAGAAGACAGTAAGATGATCTGAAAGTCAGGTGACATGGTGGACTTCTAGTTCCCTCCCCAACCCTGATTACTTAGCCAGATACCCTTTGCCTACCACCGCAAGAGGCAGAGGTATATTCTTTTGGAAAACTGTACCCGAGAAGCTCAAGGCTGGGACACTGAGCCAGAGAACCGAGCGGAACCTGCCCATGAGTAGATGACCCTGCCCAGGCTAATCAGAGTTCCAAACATTTTCAAAGAACCCCTTCGATGTAATATTTCATTCCAAAACAATGAAGCCCTGCTGGTGATGGCTTCTAAAGGCAAACTGACAGTAGCTTGTTCACATCGTCAACTGGTCAGTCCCAAATAAGGAGATGAGACTAGTGATCTGGAGAGTCTAATCTGCCTAATTTATTTTCACCATTTCAACCACACTGTGACATGCCCTGAGAAGGGTGTTTGTAAAACTTTTGCCAGGAAGAACAGAGAACGGGAACTCCTCAGGGCTATTATATTAAGGGCCCGAGGACCTAAAAGTGGTCCCGACTTTCTCTGTAAAGCTCCTTAGGGTGAAGGTGCTTTTTCCTCTCTCCCTTACGCCTTCTTCTTGCTGAAACCTTATGGAGTTTTGCATGACTTCATGTCAACTCTCGGAATTCCTTTTGCACTAAATGCCTGAGAACAGAACCCAATAAAATGACTCATCTCTCATGTAGGCATGCTTGGTTCAGCCCTTTAACCACAATGTGCTCCCCCCACGTAAATGGAATGATATGTTTACTGCAGCAATCAGTAAATCAGAAACCAAAACAAAACCTACCCATTTATTCATCTACATACAAGCTTGTTACTGCCAAATCAATGACAATACCAAGAGAATCATAAGGAGTATATTAGTACGACTTGCTCTAATATGCACTATTACTGATGGTCAAGATCGAATAATGGAAACAGTATGGTGGTTCCTAAGAGAATTAAACTGAGTCAGCACATGATCCAGCAATTCCACTTCTGGGTGTATATCTACAAGAACTGAAAGCAGACTCGA